AGCTTCAAGATGATTGGACAACTACAGCAACAGTAATTATAGAGACGGGTAGGAAAGTACTTGGTGTGTCATCTGTACAGAGAAACAATGATAAGGAAACCTGGTGGTCAAATAGTGAAGTGCAGGAATCAATTAAATAAAAAAAGAGGTTAGGCAAGATGTAATATGACAGTGAGAGGACTGAAGAGAGGAGACTGGAATATAAGGAGATGGGATTTAGAGCAAAGAGGGAAGTAGCTAAGACAAAGCAGAAGGCATATGATGAGTTGTATGGGAGGCTGGACACTAAAGAGAGTGAGAAGGACTTGGTGAGTCAAACGGATCAAGCTGGAAAGGATGTGCAGCTGGTTAGGCTTGTTAAAGATAGGAATGGTAATGTTCTAACAAGTGAGGAGCTTATGATGGGAAGATGGAAGGAGTATTTTGAGGAGCTAGTGAATGAAGAGAATGAAAGAGAAAGAAGAGTAGATGGCATAGAAAATATGGAGGAATTGGGTGGGAAAGATTAGTGAAGGTAAAATTCAGAAATCTCTGAAAGGAACATACAAGGGGAAGGCATTAGGACCTGATAACATAACAGTGGAGGTTTGGAAATGTCTAGAAGAGTTGACAGCGAGGTTTTTGACCCAAATTTTCAATGGCATTTTTGAGGGTGAGAAAATGTTTCAAGAAATGAGAATTGTGCTGGTGCCCTTTTTTAAGAACAAGAGTGATGCACAGAGTTGTTGCAACTACAGGGGAATTAAGTTTATGAGTCACATGATGAAGATCTGGGAGAGAGTTGTAGAAGCAAGATTTAGACGAGAGGTGACATCTGTGAGCAGCAGGATGGTTTCATGCCAAGAAAGAACACCACAGACACCATCTTTGCTTTGAGAATGTTGATGGAGAAGTACACAGAGGGTCAGAAAGAACTCCATTGTGTCTTTGTGGATTTAGAAAAAGCATATGACAGAGTGCCAAGAGAGGAGGTGTGGTGTTGCATGAGGAAATCTGGAGTGGCAGAGAAGTATATTAGACTGGTACAGGACATGTATGAGGACAGCAGGACATGTATGAGGACAGCAGGACAGTGGTGAGATGTGCTGTAGGAGTGACGGATAGCTTCAAGGTGGAGTGGGAGTGCATCAAGGATCAGCTCTGAGCCCCTTCTTGTTTGCTCTGGTGATGGACCAGCTAACGGATGAGGTCAGGCAGGAATCCCCATGAACTATGATGTTTGCAGATGACATTGTGATCTGTGGTGAGAACAGGGAACAGGTGGAAGAGACATTGAAGAGGTGGGGGTATGCACTTGAAAGAAGAGGGACAGTAAGGAATAGAGTCAGCCGTAGTAAGACAGAGTACGTGTGTGAATGAGCGGGAGGCAGGTGGAACAGTGAGGCTACAAGGAGCAGAGGACACAAAGGTGCAGGACTTCAAGTACCAGAGCTTATTTTGAGTCGGATCCTGCCGGAACCAGATCCAGGAACTCTCTTATTTTGACAGGTGCATTCCAGTAACTGTTTGCTTGGATCCGGTAACTCTCAAGTCTAATAATAATACACTTATGAACAAATTTGACTGCCTTGAATGAATAAAACCTATATTGGACATGTAATCTGGATATAATTACATAAACACTAATTTTAAACATAACAAGCTTCCTAATATCACATCAGAGCTGTTGCTTTGCATTTCCACTTCTGCTCTTAAAAAAATCTCAGCCCCTAAAAGTTTAAATTAATATGCAATTTTATTAAAAAACAAAAATATAATTAAACATTTTGCAATATGCATAAGTTCCAGCGCTTTTGTGAACAATGTGTTGTGTGAATCACTGCAGGAGTTTTCTGAACTTTCACTGAACTGAAAAAAGAGACGATGATCTCGGCTCATCGAGCTGCTTGTCGTGCAGTCAGAGTGAAGCAATGTCGGAGCGACCACAACGTTTTTCTGAAGTGAGCAGGAGGATTGAGAGCAACTCTTTTCAAAGTCAGTGACAAAGTGCTAAATATTAGGCAGTTTTTTTTCTAAGTGTGGCCAAAAACTTAGAGCAGCGATTGTTGTCCCACGGTGCGGAGCAGGGAGGAGGATGAGGAGGATGAGGAGGATGAGGAGGATGAGGAGGATGAGGAGGCGCACATGATCGAGGTGTGGGACAACTGGCAAGGTAAGAAATGATCCTGCACTTAATACACTTACAAATCACACATAAAGCGTTTAAAAGTAAATTATAAATATGAACTGGCTTCACTGGTGATTTTAGCCACTTTTGGGTGTGCTCAAGCACCCCTAAATTTTAACCCAGCACCCCTGAAAAATAAAGAAACCATCATTAGGATTTTGAAAGGAAACAGTTCTCAAACCTTAGATTCACCAAACTATTGAATAGATATGGAATAAATGATGCCAGTCTGAAACAGGCCAGTAAAATCTATGATTGTTTTTGCATGAGTTGTGCCACCTGTCAATCAACCCAGTAGACACGTCATCAACTGACCAATCAGCGACCTCAACTGTCCTGAACGCCCCTTACCTGCAGAGCTGCAGCTTTGCAGTCAGAGATAGGGGTTGAACGAGTATGTAATTTTTAAACTCAACATTAACATAATAAAACCCGAGTAGAACTCAAGTATTTGATATCATCATAGATCTCAAGATACAAAAATAAATAAATAAATAAATAAAACCGCAAAAAAACAGTAATTATTTACAAAAAAAGACCAACAAAACATTGGGCGCGTATATTATGCTCCTACCATTTATCATACTGCAAATAAGTCACAGGAAAAACAAAACTATTAGTTTTTATTATTAAGCTGCAAACGTGAGGAAACGCAGCACGTCAAAAACGAAACTTAACCCAAACTGGTTCGGTGGATTGGACCCGGTGTTACACCAGACTCTGTGACCTACAACAGTGCAACACCGCCCCCTACGGTCATACGGAGGTCACATAATATGACGTCACTACGGATACTCTATGTTAAATTTTTAACCTCGATAGATGTTCTAGCAATCGATGTGTAGATTCCTCGAGTACTCTGTTAATGCCCTAGTCAGAGATTTCAATAACTGAGTTTACATATTTTGTTTCATGTTAATCTACTTTAATAAACCTTTGTAAAATACACCAGGATACAGGAAATGACATCTACTTTATTCAAAATTCTCTGGGGGGTGACCCCCACATCCACCCCCACCAGGCCTGCCTGCTATTTGCGTTCCGGCATCGTTTGGTTTATAAATAAGCCCTGCTTAGGGTCCACTGTCCAGGAAAATGAGGAGTGTAGTAAAGAGGTGAAAAAGAAAGTCCAGGCAGGACGGAGTGGATAGAGAAATTTTTCAGGAGTGATTTGCAAAATAAGGGTGACTTCAAAGGTCAAAGGAAAAGGTTACAGTACAGTTGTGAGACCAGCTATGTTGTATGGTCTGCAGACAGTGGTACTGACATAAAGACAGGAAAAAGAACATTAGGAGTGACAAGGATGAATAAGATTAGGAATAAGATCATCAGAGGTACAGCACAGGTTGAACAACTGGGAGATAAAGTTAGAGCCCAGACTGAGATGGTTTGGACATGTCCAGAGGAGGGACAGTGGTTTGGACATGTCCAGAGGAGGGACAGTGGTTTGGACATGTCCAGAGGAGGGACAGTGGTTTGGACATGTCCAGAGGAGGGACAGTGGGTATATTGGTAGAAAGATGTTAGAAATGCAGCTGCAGGAAAAAGACATAGAGGAGATCTATGGATGCAGTTAGAGAGGACATGGAGGTAGATGGAGTGAGGACAGAGGACACAGAGGACAGAGTTAGATGGAGGAGGATGACTCGCGGTGATGACCCCTGAAGAGGGAAAAGCCAAAAGAAGAAGAGGTGGCTTCTCTTTCTTAATGGGCAAAGTGGGTTTGTAAAACTTGAAACATATATAGTATGTTAAAAACAGATTTTGTGCAAAAGACCACTTGGCTTTCCATATCAATTCTTTCTGGAAAAAGTAGTCCAGTTCAACACTGAGTCATTCCAGTCTTAGTGAAAGTATTACATTGGTCAAGGGAGCACCAAGACCACCTCAGTGTTCAAAATTTATTGAAGTGACCAATAATTACAGATAAACTAGAAATATGCTCCAACAATGCAAAGTCCATTGAGTCAAATTCCAAACCCAAGTCCCCACCACTGATACATTTTAGGAATTAGTACTTACCACATTGTATGCACTAATGACTTTTGAACATCGTTACTACCAGCTGTAGTTAACAATTCGCATGGGAAAAACAAAACAAACAAACAAACAAAACAAAACAACCAGCGTATTACTTTTTTACAGCTTTCCTTAAAAGCACTCATTTTCTTTGATAGCTGAGATGAACAAACCTCTAATGAACCTCTGACTGCTGTTATTAAGACAAACGTGTATGGATTACATGATTCATGTTTTTTTTCCTACTTATATCAGTTACAATTTTATTTCAGTTCTTAACCTTTTCAGGACAAAACCAGCCCAATCAATCAAAAAACATAAAGTGATTGTTGGCGTGCAAGAAAACAAGTGGCTGCATCATCATTTCTGAATAGCTCCGTATCTTGAGCCAACACAAAGGCAGCAAAAAGTAAAGTTTTAAAACACAAATTTTGTTTGAAAAAATCTCAGTTTTTCATACCAGAACCTAAAGCCAGTGTCTGATACAAATGTGGGTGGATGGGACCAGTGGCTCTGAAAATTCAGCTGTTTATAACTCGTATAGCTTCAAGTGAGAAACGAGGTCCACACCTCCATGGCCTAAAGAGTAAATTAAGGTAGTGCAGTGTAGAAGTACAAAACATGGGTATACATCAAGTGTACATTTGCAACGCTGCCTTAAACACAACTCTAGGTAAATGCTGCTGGTACAAATAGTTTGGTAAAATCTCAGCCAGCTTGGTAGTGTCTGTTTTTCTTTACTTCCTTGGGCTGATTATGCTTTCACCTGAAAAAAGATTTTGTTCTTGATATCCATCAGCATGTTGCTGATTTGGCCTTTTTTTTTTTTTTTTTTTTCTAAAATAGATTTAGACTCATACTTGGGAGCAACATGTGAGGCAAGTAAATTGACACAGCCTCTCATGCCCATCTTTTATTTTCTGAAACATTTTAATTAAAACTTTTCCAATTGTTTTGGGGAGCAGCATTTGATTACAGCCCCATATCTGCTGTCACACATCAGAAAACATGTATAAAACCACAACATTATCACACACGTGTGCTTTTTCATTGACTCTGACACACAAAAAAAAGAGTATACATAAGTATAAGAGTACTCTTATATGGTAAGAAACTAGAGAAAACAAAGATATAACAGTACCTTTCATCCAAAGAGAAACACACACTGTGATAACTAGAAGGTTGGTATTACTGGCATAATTCAACACAGAAGTAATCCTAAATAAAATACATGTGATAATGTTTATGTGTCTACACTTGATTAAAGTTGTATTTACAGTGGCCACAAAATGCAACTGGAAACATACTGTACTTTCAAGGAAATATGTACTTGAATAAACCGCACAATATGTTACCACGAATCTTTAAATATAAATATACAGTACATGTACACATTTACAAAAGCCAGGCTTTTCAAAAGTGCTGCAGATGGTGTAGAAAACAGGTGGAAATAGAGGATCACACTGCAGTCCAGGACTGTAAAAGTATGTGTACACAGTTGCTGGAGGTATTTGGTTTATCTCTTCCCCAGACCAAGAAACAGTCAGAACAGGGTTTCTAATTGGATGGGACCAAATCCTTTATATTGGGTTCTCTGTTCAGGTAGGTGGCCCAGTAGACAAGGTTGAATGAGCCAAAGAGGACTGGAAACATAATCCGTGACATCCGGTCAATTTTGCTCACACTGTTGAATGTCTTCTTGCTCTCCTGGGCTTTCCCATCTGCTTTGGGCTTGCTGGGATCTGCAGCACCGCTTTTGGCGATGGTTGGAAGTGTGCCGGAGTCCTTGTTGATACTAGGGGCATAGTTGGCCACAGCCACAGCATAGGCATTATTCTTCTTCACCATCGACGCTCTTTCTTTTTTCTGTTAATAAGCCAAAAGCATCAGTTAATGTCAAAACAGCCTCGTTTGTCATCAGCTGTCCATGAGTTTGAAATGAATGCAAATGAAGGATGCTGGTTGGACATTTTGAAATGCCAAAATGAAGGCCAATAAGTCTACATCTGTCACCAGCTGCAGGGCATGCATTCAATTTTACATCTTCACACATTACTAAAAGGTGTTAAAAAAATTCAGCCCACGTAAACTTCTACGATATCCATCAATGATCTTATCCTTACACTTTATCTTGTACAGTAGTCCCTCGTTTATCGCGAGGGATCTATACCCTGAAGCCCCGCGATAAGTGAAAAACTGCAAAGAAGGAATAGTAGTACAAGTAGTAGGTACAAGTTTATTATATATATATATTAGGGGTGTAACAATACATCAATTTACATCGATATATCGATTAAATGATTATTGATTCAATTATACTGTGGCAAAACTAAAACGTTGATTCATATAGTCAACTTTAAATACGCTTTTATTTTGAAATTCCCAAGGCACGTCTGTGTCACCATTTCCGTGCGCGGCTGCGCTCTGCGGCCGCCTCAGCAACATGGCAGACGAGGCAGAGAACACAGATGATGACATTCTCTCTCCTGCTGGATTTAAATCAACTGTGTGGAAATATTTAGATTCCAGCAGAAGAACGGCTCAACAGACAGAACTCAGGTCGTATTCAACAGGTGACGTGAATACTGTCGAATTTAGGTGTATAGAGTTATAATATTATTTAATTTAAATACTGTGAATTTAAATACTCAGGAAACAACAAATGTGTCCGTTCACCTGAAGAACAAACAGGACATTGATAGCCATGTTATGTAAGATCAATATCTGTTTCTGTTTCTTTATAAGTGAAAGGTCATCAGGGCACTTTTAAATTAACTGTTTTAAAACAATGCACTCAAACATGAGAAATGTGAGACTGTACTGAACAGGTCATTTATTTTATTTTTTCATTAATTAAGAAAAATGGGTTTTTTTTATAATTTAAATACCTGGTGCCTGTAATAACAGAAATAAAAGGGTTATATCATATTGGAATTGCTTTTGTAAATTTATTTATACGTAAATGAGATGGGCATTTGATATCGCAATATATCGATCACAAACTTGTGAATCAAATAGAATCGAAATTGTATCATGACAGACTTTGTGATATCGAGAAAAATCGTATCGTCATACAAAGAAATCTATATAATATCGTATTGTGGTAAAGCTGGTGGTTTACATCCCTTTTTTTTTTCTTGCTATTCTACGGTGAAACCAGACGTGTTTTCCCTCTCTGCCCCCCACCCGCTTCCCTGCTGTGCTCTTTTGTCCTGTGAACCCTTAAAAAGCCTCTTTTTTTCTGCATACCTCTTAATTAGAAGGATCAGCTGGTCTCTCAACAAAATCGATCAACTTCTCCCGACAGGAGTCAGGGTAAGGAGGGACCCTCTGAACTCTAGAGGAAAAATTGGATTCATGATGACGACTAGAATCTACTGTTTGGGTTGGTGGAATCTGGTTGTCTACAAATTCGTGTGGAGGTGTTGAAGCTTGACAGTGCTCGGACTGAATGTGGAGCTGTGACAGGGAATTGGAGCAGCTGTTATCAGGACTGTGATCTCCCTGGCAGCACTCATGAATGGTGGGAATAATCTGGAGAAGCTGTGAGCTCGACTTTTGGAGTAAAGGATCAATTTGGCTGTTTTGGAGTTTCCATCAGAGAATATGTCAGAGTCAGAGTCAGAGTTTCTTTATTGTCATTCGCACCTCATGGGGTACATGTGGTGGAGCGAAATTATGTACACAAGGTCCCAGTTACATCCAACAATAAAATGTATAAGAAAAACAGTAATAACATCTAAGATATGAACTAAGAAAAACATCAACTAAATATACACTACTATGTACAGCAAGACTTTAAAGGCATTATCTATACTGCCACCGAACTGTCTGTGTTTTAACGCCCCCGCAGCAATCTGGCCGGCGCGGTGGTGGATTATTAACAATATTCAAATCAACTTTTGACTGTAAACAACTGCCCATCCCAGTTTCCCACACCAGCTTTGAGCTGAGCGTCTTTGAACTCGGACATTCACCTCCGACGTTATTTGCACTTGTCTACCGCCCACCTCGGTCTAAGGATTTCATAAATGAGTTTTCTGACTTCTTGGCTGAAATCACACCAAAATATGAGCACGTTTTCATTATTGGTGACTTTAATTTGCACATGTGCTGTCAGGAGAAGCCCTTGGTTAAGGACTTTTTAGATTTATTGGACTCATTTAATTTAACTCAGCATGTAAACGATCCCACCCAAGAGCGTGAACATACACTGGACCTTGTTTTAACTCATGATATGACTGTTAATAATCTTGTTATTGGTGATAATGTTTTTTCAGACCACATGCCAGTCCGGTTTGAGTTCACCCTCCCCCATCTAACTCCTAAGCCGTGCATTCCTACACGTCGCACTCGGACCATTAACCACTTCACTGCCGCACGTTTCACAGATGTTTGTAACTCTGAAATGATCATTCAGCCCCCAGTGTTTCTCACCACCACTGAGGAGCTGACATCCCAGTTCATCTCTGTCTGCTTAAAGACTCTGGATCATGTTGCACCTGTTAAAACCAAAAAATCAAAACTCCGAGCAGAACTTTGTCTGAGTGACGTCACCAAGGCCGCTAGGCAGCAATGTAGGAGGGCGGAACTAAAGTGGAGGAAAGACAGGCTGCAGGTCTCTTTTCAAATACTTAAAGAGAGTTGGCGCTGTTATCAGAAAACAGTAAAAGCTGCTAAATCAAAATTCTTCTCTGATATAATTACCTCAAACTCTCACAACCCACGTGTCCTCTTCTCCACCCTAAACTCTGTTCTCCACCTCACTGAACCATCACCTCTGGAAGCCTCGACTGAGCTGTGTGACAACTTCCTACATTTCTTTTTGGATAAAATTGCGACCACCCGGGCTCTCATTTCCCCTCCAACTCATGACCCATCCATCCCACCTCAATCTGTAGCTCCTTTTGATCATTTTGAACCCATCACTCTATCTTCTCTAGAGCAGGTCATGTGCAGCTTGAAACCTTCTGGTTCCCCCTTTGATGTGGTCCCCCCTCGACTACTGAAGGAGGTGTTTCCAACTCTAGGTCTGTCCATTCTTGCCATAGTAAACAGTAGTTTATCCACTGGCGTGGTGCCAAAATCCTTTAAACATGCTGCTGTCCAGCCTCTCCTGAAAAAAACAAACCTTGACTCCTCAGTCGTTTCCAACTTCCGGCCTGTCTCCAAACTCCCATTTGTTTCTAAAGTACTGGAGAAAATAGTCGAGTCCCAGTTGAAGTGCTTCCTGGAGGATCACGCCATCTTAGAGCTTTTCCAATCTGGCTTTAAACCTCTCCACAGCACTGAAACTGCCCTGCTGAAGGTCTTTAACGACATCTTCAGATCCACAGATACTGGTGTTTCTGTGCTGCTTGTGCTGTTGGACCTCACAGCCGCCTTTGACACCATCGACCATGAGATCCTCATTGCTAGGTTGGAGCAGTGGGTGGGCGTCACAGGATCAACCCTCAATTGGTTCAAATCTTACCTCACTGACAGATCCTTTTGTGTCTCCATCAAGGATTTTAGTTCTGCAGAGGCAGAGCTTAAATGGGGGGTTCCGCAGGGGTCCATACTGGGTCCCCTCCTATTCTCTTTATGCCTGCTGCTGCTTGGTGCTATTTTCCGGAAACACAACATGCCCTTCCACTTCTATGCAGATGACTGTCAAATTTACTTCCCCCTAAGACACAATGGTACATGCTCTATTCAACCACTGCTCAACTGCCTGGCTGACATCAGGGACTGGATGGCTTTACATTTCTTGAGTTTCAATGAAAAGAAGTCTGAAGTCACGTTGTTCCCTCCCAACGACACGATCACAAACCACTGCATCGACCTTTCCGCTCTAACCATGTCAGAAAAACAAAGAGTCTCTACTCTGGGCGTGATAATGGACCCTTCCCTGAAACTTAACAATCATGTAAACATGATTGTTAAATCATGCTTCTTCCAACTGAGGCGGCTGTCTAAACTGAAGCCCATATTGTCCAAAAATAACATGGAGACAGTAATACATGCATTCATTACATCTAGGCTCGATTACTGCAATTCGTTCCTGTTTGGTATCAGTCAGACCTCCATTGCACGACTACAACTGGTCCAGAATGCAGCAGCCCGATTTTTAACCAGTACAGGCAAAAGAGAGCACATTACACCAGTTTTGGCCTCACTGCACTGGTTACCGGTTCACTTTTGAATCCAGTTCAAAATACTCATGTATGTCTACAAATCACTGAACAGTGTTCCCCCCCATCTCTCTGATCTGCTACAACCGTATGTCCCACCACGCTCCCTGAGGTCAGTGGACCAGTTGCTCCTCACAGTTCCAGGAACTCGTCTTAAGCGTAGAGGTGACATGGCCTTCTCTGTAGCAGGACCAAAACTCTGGAACAAGTTACCTCTGCTTGTCAGACAGGCCCCGTCCCTTTCGGTTTTCAAGTCCCGTTTGAAAAACACTACTATTCAATAGCTTTCAACACAAGATGATCTGTGTTTTGATCCTGTATGCTCTACACTGGTTTGTTGTCATTATCTGCATCGTTTTTTGTCTATATTCTGATTTACATAATTTTGTATTTTGCTTTGTGTGTTACCTGTTGTTTTGTCTGTACAGCACTTTGGTTGACCTTGTTGCTGTTTTAAGTGCTTTATAAATAAAGTGGTATGGTATGGTAACATTGAAACAGATCAGCAGCAACATGAAACAGATCAGCAGCAACATGAAACAGATCAGCAGCAACATGATGTGATTTTTCACAGTGATTATTCTAGTTAGAGATTCATGAGTCTAACAGCCTCATGGTAGAAGCTGCTCCTCAGTCTAGTGGTTCTACACTTAATGCTCCTCAACCTCCTTCCTGAGGGGAGTGGGGCAAAAA